AAAAAAAAAAACCTTTTGACCATTTTTATGTTTATTTGGTATTTTCTTTTATATCATCTAAAAAAATTAGTACTAATCATTATAGTGGCGTAAGTGTGATTTAACTAATTTGAAGTCACACCCTCAGAGATGAACAGACCAGCTCCCAGCACAGCTCAGATGTTTTCTTTGCTTTTCTTCATTGTTCCCAGAAGAGCCTGACTGATCATTTTACTTTTTTACACCATCAGAAAAAGACAAAAGTGAAATCTTACTTTTTATCCCTCTCGGATGGAAACCCAAATTCTGTGGAGCTGTGTGTCATTGATGAAGCCTGGTCTCTGAGATGGAATTGTTTTTAAGAACTTCCTATAAAACACTTTAACAGACTGAAAGGAAAGAGCCTGTGTGTTTGATGGAAGACTTGCAGCATGCAGCTGGAACCGGCCCTTCAGCATTCACCTCCTGTGTCTTCAGCGCCTCGTCATTCGCTGCCTCTGGGCAGGAGACTGTTCAGTCTTAGAATGTTTGGATTTAATTGAATTGTAGATGGTAAGGGAAATTTGCTGTTGTATTGTATTTTCTGTTTTTAAATAATTAAAACGGGTCAATTTTCCAGATGTTCCTGGATTTCTGTTTTTTTATCCTTTGGTAGCTGATTTGAGATCAGTTTGAAAAGGAAAAAAAAGAAAAGCAAGGTATGTGTAAGTGTGAGTTTTTAATTTTTAAATTTTTTATTTTTTGGTCTTTTTGAGACAGGGTCTCCCTATAGTCCCAGCTGACCTGACCTGGAACTCACGGTATAGCCCCAGCTGACCTGGAACACACTCGGTGGACCAGGCTGTCCTCGAACTCACAGAGGATCTGCCTGCCTCTGCTGGTTTTAAAAGCATGCTCCACTACATGCTGCATAAAAGTGAATTTTTTAAAATTCTATTTTATTATTTTATGTGTATGCGTGTATTGCCTGTATGTAGGTAAGTACACCCATGTTGTGCAATGCCCAAGGAGGTCAGAAGAGGCTGTCGGATCCCCTGGGACTGGAGTTATGGACACTTGTTAGCTTCCTTGTGACTGCTGGGATTCAAATCCGGGTCTTCTGCAAAAACAACCAGTGTTCTTAACCACTGAGCCATCTCTCCAGCCCAAAAGTGAATTTTTAAACTCTTTGGACTTTGGGACTGGAGCAATGACTCAGTGGTTAAGAGCACTGGCTGGCTTCACAAAGGATCTGGGTTTGGTTGCCAGCACCCACATGGTAGCTAATAACTGTCCCTAACTCCAGTTCCCTCTGGAGTCCTGACACCCTCTTCTGGCCTCTGCAGGCATTGCATACTCATATACATGCAGGCAAAACACTCATAAAATCAAAATAAATAAAAATTGTAGCCAGCCATGGTGGCACATACCTTTAATTTCAGCATGTAAGAGACAGAAACGTGAATCTCTCTGAGATTGAGGCCATCCTGGTCTGCATGGCAAGTTCTAGGCCACCTGGGAGACCCTGTCTCAAAAAAAAAGGAAAAAAGGAAAACAATCTTGGACTTGATTTTTTTTTTTTTTAGGGGTGTGAAGTTTGAAGCAAGGTCTTGGTATGTAGCCCAGATTAGCCTTGCCTCATAATCCCTGAGTGCTGGGATTACAGTTTGTGTCATAACACCCAGATTAGTTTTCATCTTTCTGTCATTCCATGTTAGTAAAAACACCCAAGGCTTTTCGGTAATATGTCCAAATTTGTTAGTACAATTGAAATAAGAAGGGACAGAAAGCACAGAACTTGACATGGGTTTTTGTTTGGTAAGTGCTAACAGTAAGTGTCACTTTAATTCAAGCCATTGTAAAGGAAACAGGTAAGATCTAAAGTGTATTTAAATGCATATTATCCAAAATGTATTTCAAGGCTGGCCATGTACCATGTGGTTGCCACATGGAAAGTGAGGGTAAGAATAAGTTTCCCCTATTTTTCAGTCAGCCATGTCCCCTGCCATTGGACAGTGGCACCCACATTATGGGCAGGTCTTCAGCACTCAGTTTACTGACCCATACACCAAGCTTCTCTGGAAAGCCCTCAGACACACTCAGAAATGTGCTTCACCCATTCTGTGTGTTCCTTTGTTCACTCAAGCCAATCCACAGTGAACCTTCATACATTTCCCATTACTGCTACAAGGGTTGCTATTGGTAGTTGTGAGCTTTTTATTCTTTGTTTTTTCTCATACTTTACATCTTTTTCTGTGGTACATCATAGTTCACTAGTTCTTAATGTGTATCATTAGCTTTGTAATTTTTTAAAAATATTTTATGTGTATGAATGTATTGCCTCATGAATATGTAAGTGCACCTATGTTGTGCAATGCCCTGTCAAGCAGAGGTCAGAAGAAGGTGTCAGATCCCCTGGAACTGCAGATATAGATGGTTGTTAGCCATGTGGGTGCTGGGAATTGAACCTGGGTGCTCTGCAAGAGCAGACAGTGTGCTTAACTGCTGAGCCATCTCTCCAGCCCCTTAATTTTTATTATTATTTTTTTAAAATGTGTGTGAGTTGGGCCAGGCATGGTGGCACACGCCTTTAATCACAGCACTTGGGAGGCAGAGGCAGGTGGATCTCTGTGAGTTCAAGGCCAGCCTGGTCTACATAGTGAGTTCCAGGACAGCTGGGGCTACAGGGAGACCTTGTCTCAAAGAGACCAAAAAAAAAAAAATTTGAGTGCATTGCCTGCATGTATGTAAGTGCACCCGTGTAATGCCCACAGAGGCCAGAAGAGGGTGCTGGATCCTCTGAAGTTGTAGACTGTAGTTAGCCTCCATATGGGTGCTGGGAATTGAACCTGGGTCCTCTGCAAGAGCAGCCAGTGCTCTTAACTACTGAGCCATCTCTCCAACCCCTTAATACTCTTTTTAAATTATTTTTATTTTATATATATATGAGTGTATTGCCTGCATGTAGGTAGGTACACCCATGTTGTGCACTGCCCACAAGAGGTCAGAAGAGGGCATTGGATCCCCTGGAACTGGAATTATGGACAGTTGTTATCCATATGGATGCTGGGAATTGAACTGAGATCCTCTGCAAAAGCAGAGCAGCCAGTGCTCTGAACTGCTGAGCCATCTCTGCAAATTTTTATTTTTATGTATATGAGTATATTGCCTGCATATATGTAAGTGCACACGTGTTGTGCAATGCCCATGGAGGTCAGAAGAGAGTATAGGATCATCTGGAACTTGAGTTTCAGGCAGTTGTTAGCCACCAAATGGTTGCTGGGAATCGAACCTGGATTCTCTGCAAGAACAGCCAGTGCTCTTACCTGCTAAGCCATCTCCAATTTTTTTTTTAAAGATTGATTTTTTAAATTTATGTGTATGTATGTGTGCCTGTGAGTTCTGTGAGTTTATGCACACCACATGCATGCATGTGGCTGTGGAGGCCAGAAGACATTGGATCCCCTGGAATTGGAATTAGAGGCATCTGGGAAACACCTGATATGCTGGGAGCCAAACCCCGGTCCTCTGCAAGAACAGTACATGCTCTTAACTGCAGCAGAGCCATCTTGGCCCTAGGTTTGTTTGTTTTTTTTTTTTTTTTTGTGGTGCTGAGGATTGAGCTTTAACTTTAAAAGAAAGGGTTGTTTGGATAGAATATACAGAAAAGTACATTAAGACACAGAAGTACAACTGACTTTAAAGCAAACATCTATGTAGCAATCACCCAGGTCTAGAAATTGAGAATTTCCAGTCACCCCAGAGGTATTCATGTTCCCCTCACATCCATACGCCCTTCCCTCCCAGGGTTACCACTATTTTATATTGTTGCTTTGCACCAGAACTATATATGTATTTGTTTGGCTTCCCTTGCTTTTACCCTGAGATGTGGCTGTGGACTACCTGATTCATGTTCATTGCTGCCAAGTCTAACAGGCTTTTGAATGTTTTGTTGGCTAGTCTTGTTACTTTTTGATTGTATAAAGAACAAAAGCAAGCAAAAATTGGAGGGTTGTATGAAGGACTTGTTAGGTCCCCAAATTACATGAAAGGTTTATTTTTTCAGGATCCAAATATTCTTTGTTGAATAAAGAACCATAAACACATAGACATGCCTATGTAACTATAAACTGTATACATGTATGTATATATGTATTTACTGACAGAATTTTACAATTCTAGAAGGATCAGGTTATCGGGGTTTCCTTTCATAAACAGTAATGGGACAGAATGCAGGAGGGTGGACAGGACAAGAATGTGCGTGGACATGGATGCGCATGTGCGTGGGAAGGGCTGTGTTGGGCGGATACTTTTCACATTCTATTTCTCATTTTTAATTTACGGTAGCACTTTTTTTTAAAGTCAGGGTCTCTTTGTAACCTGAGCTGGCCTGGAACTCACTGGCTTCAATCTCACAGAGATCCATCTGCCTCTGCCCCTGGAGTGCTGGGATTAAAGGTGTGTGCCACCAAGCCTGGCAGTAAGCACTTTTTTAGTAACAAAAATCACAGAAAAAAGGAATGAGGATACACTGGGGTGCAGGCCCCCATCCTCACAGACCCTCCTGTGCCTATCAAGTGAGTTTCCTTCCAGAGAATTGCAGAATGAGCCTGTGGCAATCCAAGTCCTCACTTCTTTCTAGATATTTAATGGTCTTCAGTTCATAGAAATCTGGCTTTATATAGCATCCCTCAAATTCAAGAGAATATCAATTGCAAAGAACCCCGAGATTCAGGCTGGCAGTCCCTTGGAACCAGGAAGGGGAGTGAAACTCCAGAGTAAGAGAATAGACCATCATGCTGTCCAGCCTGGGACCAGGGATTCCTGTCAAATCCCTGAGATGCTCTCCCTCTACCAGCTTAGCTGACCCTGTACCCTGCCTCTCCACGGCCTGCTTCACAAACTATACCCACTCAGAACTATTCCAGCCAGCAGAAGTGGGTACAAGAAACTCAACATTGAGCCCTTATGATGTGTCCTGTCCTGTGCTCCCAACAATCCTGTGAAAGCTTCTAACTTGTCCTCAGAGACAGAGAAGCAGAGGCTCAGTGTGAAATGATGGGTCCAAGTTCCCACCACTCGGGCAGAACTAGACCTCGTCCCATCTGGTTGGACATCCCAGTTCCCACTGTTAACCTCTCAATTCCAAGATGTAGCCCTGTGTTCAGCTATGCCAGCGTGAGTGGGCATGGCTTGGTCAGCTGGTGCAGTGAAAAAAGAGATTCCCTGAGTCAGGTTCCCATTTTGACAGGAGCCATTGGTGGACTCTCATTTCATTTCCGTTCCACTCCACTCCAAATTTCCCTCTTTTGAGTCTAGATATCTATAACTACAAAATGAGGCAATACCTTTCAGGCTGAACTGAGAAGTAGGAACAGGATATAGAAAGAACAATGCTGCCTCAAGCACTGAGACTGACAAAAGTAGCCGTCACCCTTCATCATCATCATCATCACCAGCAATAGCATCCTTACCACTTGTACTAAGGGGTCTGCTCAGAATGGAGGATGGGAAAGTGTCCTGTGTCCCACTTTGCACCTGTCCCACTGTAAGGTGCTCCATGGAGTAACCCTTTCTTTAGATCCCCATAGCCACCCCTATTCCAAGCCTCAAAGCTTCTAGACTCACTGGTCTCCAGCATTGCTTAATTCCCAGCAGTACAGGCTGAGCTATCACATCCTCCTATCACATCCTCTTCCCTTGATGGCTCCCATTCCTTCTCCAAGGTCCCATTCAAATCTTCTGGGCAGCTTTGGAAATCACCCAGCATCAGGGACACTAAGCTGTCAACTATCAGCATACAAATCTGTCTTCTCTACCACCTTTTCCTCCTGGGCCCAGTCAAGGTGGTTTGTACCTGTGATCAGAATTCAGGAGGTGGAGGCAGGAAGATCAGGAGTTCAAGGTCATCCTCAGCTGCATAGAGAGTTCACAGCAGCCTAGGTTACAACTGGTTTGTTTGCTTGCTTGCTTGCTTGCTTGCTTGCTTGCTTGCTTTTTGAGACAGGGTCTCATGTAGCCCAAGCTGGCCTTGACTCTATATATAGTCAAGGATGACTTCAAACTTACAGCCTTCCTGCCTCTACCTCTTAAGTGCTGGGATGATGGGTATGCACCTCTATGCCTGGTTTATGTGGCGCTAGAGATCAAACCCAGATGTTCCTACATGTTAGGCATGCTAAGCAAGCACTCCACAAACCGAGCTACAGTTCCAGCCCCTGGATTACCACTTCCTAGTGATCAGGGGTCTCCACATGTTGACAGACTGCTGAGGAGCACTCATCAGGAGAGTAAGAGCTGAGCTGCTGGAGCCAGGCAGTGCAGAGGCATGGGTATGGATTCTAAAAGACATACGCTATAGGCAGGTTGCACAGGATCGCCTGGAGTAAGGGACACTAATGGTGCCCCCTGAAAGCAAATCTGTAACTTCAAGTCTGGGGCAGGCCCAAAATTGTATTAGATCCAATTAGGACCAACATCAGCTAGTTTTGAAGCACATCTGCATTTGGGGAATGCCAAACTTTGTGACTATATCTAATAATGTGTGGTGTGCTTTTCATAAATTGTGAAATCTGCCCAACATGGTCACTTACACCTGTGATCCCAGCACTTGGGAAGCTGAGGTCATAAACTGTCCCAAGTTCAAGGCCAGCCTGGGCTACATAGTGAGATTCTGTCAAGAGGTGGGGGGGGAGAGGGAGAAGGAGAGAGGAAGAAGGAAGGAAGGAAGGAAGGAAGGAAGGGAGGGAGGCAGGGAGGAAGGGAGGGAGGGAAGAAAACCCACCATTACTCAAGGATGATTCACACTCCTGTAATACTAGAATTTGGGAGGCTGAGGCAAGATTGTGAGTTCAAGGCCAGCCTGGCCTACTCAGGGAGATCCTATCTCAAACTCAACAACAGCTAGATGTGGTAACACACGCCTGCAGTCCAGCATTAGGGAGGCAGGATTGCAAGATTAAGGTCAAGTTGAGTTATATAGCAGACCCTGTTTCAATAAGAAGCCATTGTTAGCATGCCCTGCCAGAGCAAGCCAGTTGGCAGTTAGCTTCTCTTTCTTCATACCTAGATAGGCACACTCAGCAGCCACTTTTTGTGTTGTTAAAATAGGATTCTCCTATGTGTGCAGTGAATCTTGTTTTTCATAGGCCAGGACAGTTTCCCTTGTCCTTAAGCTTCTCTTGTTAAACATTCTTTAAGGACATAGCTTCCAGGGTAGGACAATGCCCCAGGCATAGTAAAAGTGTGGCCTTATGGCTTAAATAACACTCTGTGGTGAGATGCTTCTGTTTAAGAGCTGCTTTCTAAGCACCTCTGATGACCACAGGGGACGGTGGGCAGAAGGTAAGGGCCTGGAGGAGCTGGGCAGCAGAAAGCCCTTAGGCCGAGGAGCCTCACCTGAAAGCCTGTGGACACAAAGCTGGAGAAGGGAAACTGGTCAATGTCTGGAGGGAGAGTCAGGCTGGGCCGGGCAGGAACCTCGGGAGGCAGACACTCAGTGATGTTCATAGAGAGGGTGTCCTGGTGTCCTAGTAAGGAGCACAAGAGGAAGTCTAGAGACACCCAAATTCCCGCCCTCCCCATCAGCTCCAACTGAGGGTGGTGGCGGGGGTGGAAGAGGCAGATATGGACCAATGAAACACTACCCAGTCAAGGGCCTGGGGGCACTAAGAATACTCACTTTCCATTGTCTTCAGCATGGTGGCCAGCTCAGCTGGGATCTCCAAGCGCCCCAGGTCCTGGTGAAGAGGACCAAATTACCAGAAACTAAGGTATGGCTTAGAAGGACTGAGTGTCCCGCCATATCTTCAAGATGATAAATAACTCCTCCAAAGACAAAGGAGCAGGGTCCCCAGAGCATCTGAAGGAAACCAGGGCACCCCAGTCCTCTGCTTAGGTGGCACATGATGGACAGGACCCCGATGGCACCTTGTGAGCTCCACCCTCCCCTAAGCTGTGCCAAGCTCAGGGGTTCACACCCTGCACAAGACCCCCTGCTTCCAGAACACCTACCATGCTTGGCACTTTTTCCCAGGCCTCCAAGCTGTGAGAGCCACCCGAATGCCTAAGCTGTGGGGGAGATACAGGAAGAACGAATGCCCCCCTGCCACCCCATAAGTAAGGAGTCACCAGCAGTTTCCCAGCAGCACTTTCCCAACTCAGCAGGTCAGTGTCCCCTCCTGTCTCCAGAGACTCTGCTGGTAGCCAAGGAACAGTGCAGTCACCAGGGGCATAGTCACTGGAGGCACACTGCCTGACAAGCGCCTGTCTCTACCCACCCCTGACCCTCCAAAGTGCTCACCAGCCTCCAGGCTATGGATGTCACTGTCTGTCTGCTAGGGAACCAGGAAGATGTAAGGAAGTAGGGAAGTAATGGTCCCAGCGGACAAAGTCCGGCCTGGGAGGAGCCAGGGAGGAGGCAGAATGTGGGCACTGACCTTTGAGCTGCTTTATGGCCCTCAAATTAGAGTCATCAGGCAAGATGGAGAGCAGAGGGGGCACACAGGGGGCTGGAGGGACTGGGAGAAAGTGAAGATAGTGGGTGCTGGGGCCCCAGCCTGCCCTGGCCAGACAGGGAAACAGGAAGAGTTTGGGAAGCAATGGTCTCTGAGGTCTCAGTCCTACAAGTTCAGGCTAAAAGGGGAGACACGTCAGGATTCAGCCACTAGGCCAGTTAAGGCCCCCTGGCTTCTACCCTGAGCTTCCCCAGTCCAGATGCTCCCCAAACCCTCTTACCTGTAGCTTCAGCCGTCTTTGGAGCAGGGGCCTGGCCACCAGTAAGACAGTGTTCAGGTGTCCTAGAGCTGCCCTTCGTCTGAGGTATCGCTTCCTGGAGGCCATGGGAGTCATTAGGGGATGGGGCTCCAAACTTACACTTCCTGCCTGGTGGCACCTGAGCCTTCCAAGTCTCGATAGTAATATAAAAACTGACTCCTAGACCAGTGACTCTTCTGATGGTTAACAGAAGCAACAGTAAAGAATAGCCCATTTTGGGCCAAGCGTGGTGGCGCATGCCTTCAGTCCCCAGCACTCTGGAGGCACAGGCAGGCGGATCTCTGTTGGTTCCAAGCCAGCCTTGTCCACATAGAGAGTTCCAGGCCAGCTGGAACTACAGGGCAACCCTATCTCAAAAAAAAAAAAAAAAAAAAAAGGAAAAGCCATTTTG